CTGGCTTCTCGGCGGCACATTTAGCCGTCTAGGGATTTGTTTTTAGCACCCAGTTGACAGCTGCGTACATGTTTTCTGCAAGACTTGTGGACTTCGGCCGCAGGTGGCACACCCTGGCATGGCAATGGCTGTCTTAGACGATCACCTGGCCCACCTGCCACGCTGCATTGGCCGCGAAACTTGGCATTTTGCCTGTTGCGGTGGACATGTGGATTTTTTAAAGAAGGGATTATTCTGCGGGCTCCCAGAGCAGAGTGTTTATCATTTGCACACATATGTGGCTTGCGCTCTTTCTTGGAAATGCCCTCTTGCCTGCAAAATCATTTGCAGGCTGTTGGATGCCAACTGGCATCTGCAACGCTTCTATGTGGCTCTTCTGTTCTCAGCACCTTCCTAGCCTCCGTCCTTTGAACCACTTGCAATTGTGAAGGTAAGACATTGCACGTACGCATCCACTTTCCCAATGCTTCGCGGCAAAGGCAATGGACAACTGACTCTTCCACATGAACAACAGTCTAAACTCCTTAAAGGGGGATTATATAGGGGATTATATAGGGGTTACTAAGGGGGATACTAGGAGTTTAGACTATAACACACATCAGCCTTGGACCTTTGCAGCCTCTGCCTTGAAGCCCACTGACCCATCAGCTCCGAGTGAAGCAAAAAGGCGGAAACCACTGGCCTCAATGATCTCCAGCCCTGCTTTGCAACTGCGGGGGACGAGCCAACAACGAGAAGAAGAAGAAGAAACAGGTGGAAGAATTGCCAAAAACAGAGAGAGTATGCTCCCAACTGTAGCAGGAAGCTTTGCTGAACATGTGGTAGTTTCAGATGAGGCCCAAAAGGGAATCAGTGGCAGGATGGTAAACAGCCAACCCATTTTTCTTAACAGGCCGCACACCAAGAGTATCTTTTGTATCAGCAGATTCCCGGCTCAAATTGACAATCCCTGAAGTTGAGTCCTGCAGCTCCACGAGCCATGAGTCAATTCGGTCACAGACAAGAACTCATGCCCAAGCCCCAAAGCCGAGGAAAAGACTTCCGTGACCTGGAAGCAGGAAATGGAAGTCAAGGCCCTCCTGCCGCTGGGCCAGGCTGGAGACTCCTTGCGGATCCCAGGGAACAAGAGCTACAGGTCTTAGGTTTGTAGTGGTTTTGGAGCTATACAGAAGTTAGGTGTGCAAGGTTTTACGGCGTTGCTCTGTGCTTTAGGGATCATTGGGTTTGGTGGCTAGGGATTGTGGGAACTTTGTGCACGGGGGCTTGGGCTTTTGTGGTCATATTGGAAGTGTTTTCAGTATGGTCTCGGTAATCATATACTAGTCTACTTGGAAGGAGCCTCAAGCCCCAAGGCTGCACAGGGTTTAAAGAGCCGGTTGTCACTAGTTTCAAGAGGGTTTCTGGGTGTGAGTTGCTTCCTTTCCTGCTTAATTTTCTTGGCAGGGATTATGTTGCGTAACGAGGAAACCCTGTTTTTGTACTGTAGTACCCACAGCCGTACGGGTTCTGCACTTGTGCCAGCGATGGCAGTACCTTTGGACAATGATAACACCGCTTTAATCTAGAAAGTACCATGCCTCGTAGCATCATTGTCATGACCAATAGTATTAGTATGACTTTTTGCAGCAGCGGGAACTGAGAATCTTTTAGCTCCATCTGCTTATAGAGGAGATGACAGGAGGATACTGGGCACAGGCATTGCCTTGTGCTTAGCTTCTGGAGTGTAGAACGAGGAGCTACAAAAAGCTTTATCTAGCGATGCAGGTATCAAGTCCGACGTGTCGTAGCTGATGATGCAGGTCCATCTGAACACGTGGAGATTGAATGCGCAAAGCACACCGCGCAATATCCTGCTTGAAGAATTGCAACCAGATTCAGCGAGCATCTGCTGGCAGTGGCGGATAAGTTCTCATGCCCCGAATCTGACAATTCTGACCTTATGCTTCCCGAAGCCTTTGAGAAGGAGCTGGAGTTTGAGTGCTTCTGCCCGGTGAAGCAAGAAGGCAGCGACCGTTTGAGGGGATGCAAGTGACAACCTCAGAAAAGGTGCCGCCTAATTTCAACCTGACAAAATGGGTTGCGCAGAATTATCTGTGAATTGCACAAAGTAATAAACAACATGGGAATGCAGAGAGGGAGCTTGGGTAAACGAGGATAAAATCTTGTGCTAGCACACAACAGGCCCTTTGCAATAAAGTTCAATAAGGCTCCGGCTCCTCAACGCAAGACGAGACATCCATCCCGACTCATTCTCAAATTGTCTCCAGTGACCCTGACAGCCACCCAGACCCCTTCACTGCATGGGCACATGAGAGTGTCGCAAGTCAGCGGCGCCACCTGCTTTCATGAAGCACATAAATCACCCAAAGTCTGCATCTGTTTGTGTTGCTCGCTCAGCATGTGAACAGGAAGTTCTCCCACGAAACAGCCTTTCGTGAGCCTCCTGGATAGAAAGTGCCACATCATGCAGGGGACAAGAAGGTACCCCAATTTCGGCAACCAGCACTCCGTGGAAACCACAATCTTTCAGCTTCATCCTCCAAAGCCCCAAATCCCACCAAAACCCGCAACGATCCTCAACCAGAGTAATTGGGCTGTGATTTCTGCAGGTCCTGTGGGCACCAGCGTGCTAGGCGAGATCCGCTACGATAATGAGGTCTTGGTGTCACTGCCGCTCTGCTGGCGATAGCTTTGGATAAGTTAGCAGTAATAGGAATACGTAGGGACAGACGTAATTATCAATGGTATATTTGCACTTGAAAACATGCCACAACAACGAGTACGAATGTTGACCAAAAGTAGTCGAGCAATCTTCAAGGCAGCTTGCGCAGTCATAGTATATCATTTAGTATGTCTGAGGCAGCAGAGTACATAGAATTTGTTTGTGTCACTGGTAGGAGTGCTATGTTCATGTTTTATAAACCAGTAGTCTTGCAAACTACCCGTGTAAAACCCAGCAGCAATGAGCCAGAGATCTCCGAGTATCCATCCTTTGCGCATATGCTCCTACACTTCCCGAGCAATCCCAACAATGCCGCCCATGACTCGGATGTTGAGGTCGGCGATCATCACCTCAAGTGATCGGGAAGCCCCAGGGGCCGCTGGTTTGTAGACTGGCCCATTCCTGGCCCGCTATGTGGCCCAAGCTGCCACTGCAAGCGGAATAGATGGAATGGATAAATCGCAGTTGCTCCAGCGTGTGTCATCCTTGCTGTTAATTGGTATATTATAGGGGCGCACCCCCCGCCCCAGATTAATAGCGTATAGGGCCCATTATTGGCCCATTATTGTAGTAGTTTAATATAGATTTCAATAGGTTTCTGGTGGATAGTCAACTGAATTCCATGAGATTTGAAGGGAGTTTTGAGGGTCTGGGGTCTGGGAGAGCTTTCTCTAAATCTACGGGGTTTTCGGCCCCAAACTGCCTCCACCTTCAAAGTTATCTTTGACCCCTTAGCTTGACCCCAAGGAGTTATCTAAACATCTAGGAAGTTTCATGAATCAAGAGCACGGATCATTAAACCGATGGGCATGAGAGGAAATATCCGTGGGCTAGACACATACAAGGTGTATATAATGCCCGGTAGTTGAAGATGAAGGTGCCATAATTGCAAACCCCTGCTTGTAGGGATCGCAGAAGGATGTGAGGGGTGAATTGGGGTTGATCAGAAGCGCACATTGAGGGCCTCATCTTTCGGAACCTACGGTTTCAAAGGTTGCAAAGGGAGCCCTGATTTGGACAGATACCCTGCAGTCACCGTGCTTGCCAAGGCGCCGAGCCCCAAAAAAACCCTAAGCCTTGAAGTGCCAGTGTGGGCAAACTTCGCATGAGCACATTTTTGCACGCCAAAGGTGCGCGCAGCAGCACAGGCCCGCAACAAATCATGGCTACTCCAGATTAGGTACTGCACGAACCATCATTGTAAGAACAGCATGCCAACTGAAGCCCTGTGTGGCTTCTGCTCGTGAGAGCCTGCGGCGGGCCCGTATTTGAAAATCAGTAGCGACTCAATCTGGGCACCCATCGATTTTAATCCAAGGATGTCACTGTGGTGCATACCCTTCATGGGCGGCTGAGCAGCATCGACCAAAAAGCGATCCAAACCTGTATGATCTCATCTCAAGATTTTAGCCACGATCTTGCCCCTGAATTTGAAGATTACACAAAGCTCCGCTATCCCCAAGAAACTACTGCTTCAAGCTTGGGCCAAGTACACTCTGAATCTTGAGGACTGACTGAAGGAGGTCGACTTTTTATTAAATCTGGCTTGTGGCCAGAGTTCGCCCCGCTTGGCCTGATGCCCAGAAATTCTTAAAACCCGGTGACGAGTAGCAGGGGCGAATGGAAATTCCCACTAGTCCCTGACACCCTGTAGTGAAGCAGCGGGCACAAAGGCCGATCCAGAATCTGTTTACAGGCCAATGGTCAATGGCGTGAGCTGCGGTGCTGCATTCAGCTCACCAGAAGCACCACTTCAGGCGCATCACATTTCAAAAGTAGAGGAGTTTTCGTTTAGGGGCTTGCAAGTTTGATAGTTTAGGATTTGGGGGAGTGGGATAGAACTGTTTAGGATTCAGAGGTTTAAGGATCTCTTGTTCTAGGATCCAAGGCTTAGAGCACAGAGATGTAGTGCAGGATCTTGAACGGTGAAAAACTTGTTAGAAGTTTGTGTTGTTTTTTTTTCCCAAGGTTGTAAAGTTAAGAGCAGCGGCTACATGGTTAGGCATCCTCAGAACATGAAACTTATGGAGCCTTGCACCTTGATGCCCTAGATTAAAAGAAAGACGTGCTCTGAGACATGACCACACCTGCTCATTTCAGGATCCGTGAAGTCCTTGTTGCCGCCATTACCATAACTCCTGCTACTTGCTCGAGCCTGCTACTTGCTCGAGCCCTGGAACTCTCGACGAGCTCACTTTGCAACAGGGGTTAGGTACGTTTGGGGCATCTCACAGAAGCCTTTCACATGCCTCTGTACGGCCTTTTACATACCCCTCCAATGTCTTCTGGAGGTCCCAGACCTGACAGAGTACTGGGGAGCCCACCGCATCGTGACCTGCGACGCGCCGGTCAGCCCTCGGGGTCTCCTAGCCTCCCCGGGCCCCGGAACATTCAGAGTGTACGTCGGGGTGAACAGAAAGACGGACAGGGACATGAGGACAACTGAGTCTACGCATGGTTCAGGGTTCATCATGGGCTTAGGCTTCTCCGTGGTGTGTGAGCCCAGGATTTCTTGGATTTTGTCCTTGCAGACTGTAAAGTCTTGCCAGAGATGCCTTTCTGCTATTGCAAGGAACACGCTAGAAAGCAGCATAGCCTTTCACTGCAGGAATCATGAGCGAGGCGCTCACTTTGTTCACAACCTCTTAAAGTACCGTGTAAGTGGTGAGCTAAGTTCATGACCCGCGTTAGGGGAATCAAATTCTCAGTGCCCTACCAATTTGGGGTTGATTGTGTCACATGTCAATACAGGCAGCGGCGCAGAGAACTGAATGCCAGGTCTTCTGGCTGAACTTCTCGGTCCCAGACAGCACTCGACGGTACCTCGACGTCAGCGCAGGTCAGGTTCAAATGCTCTCAGCGCAGTCCTCCCGCATGAACGCCACCATCGCGGCAGGTTCCCTTCATCCCGCGTCATCCTTTGGCCAGATGCCCAGTACGTTTTGTGTCTTAAGTTGCCCCGACGCCATCCTGCGTGCTCAGCTCTGCGATCGCATCCAAGGATCCGACAGGCTGCTTGGTCTGCGCGTGGATGCGCTGAGCCGGCATAATTGACCGTTCTCGGTAGAAAAGGTATACCAGATTCATACACACCATCACACACCATTACACACATATGCACCTGCCATGCCGCTGGCCGCCGAGTGTTGTCCCTGTGATAATAGGTAGTATGCCGCAGCAATCCCCAGCAAGCTCCAACAAGCAGCATAGCAGTACCAAACCAAAGCAAATTGGACAATGCTGCCCTCATCCTAGGTCCGATGCTGAACAAGGTTTCTGAAAGGGCATAGGAAGCCCCCACCAAAAGCGATAGAAGTGGCGACTATGGCGACATGTAAACGAGGAAGTAGGTATCAATGGTGTTCATTGCTGTTGATGCAGGAAATCTTGCACCACCTGAGGCATTCAGACGGTAGTAAGCACGACGGGGACCTTGGGCAGGGTGCAACGACTCCTCCCGCCAGCATTCTAGTCCTAAACAAATATGTTCGATGCCAGGGTAGTCCTGTCCTCAGACCAGCCGGAGCTCGATACCTCGCAGCTGGAGATCACTTTGCCTCCAGGTGCGGGCAATCTTAATGTGAGGGGCTTAATTAGAAATTATGACGGCAGCGTTGTGCGCTTGGGGATTCGTGCTGAGCTGTAGGGATTGTCATATGAAGCATTACAGGCATTGGGCTAGGCAATGCTAATCAATTTTCTTTGGGTAGTTACAGGAATTCTTCTGAGGGCTGTTCCCTGTGGAATTCAGAAGCAATCCTTGGGGCCCAATATTTTGCAAGATAATATCTCATCTTCACCGCAGGGGAGGTCACGTGCTCAAAGGCTGTCATCCCGAGCTGCATTGACGGCTTCTCAAAAACGCAGGATTCGTCAGCGAATGTACAAGCATACAACATCATATCACCGTATATTACTGTCATTCTCGTCCTTGCTAAAAAGCTTGAGAATGGTTCCATCATCAACTACTATCTACAGAGCGAACATGTCAACAAGGCGGACACGCCCAGACCCCTGACACATCTAAGAGAACGAAGCGAAAGATGATCGCGGCGAGACGGGCAAATGTTGGGGATGTTCTTGAGCATTTAGGAGTCTGGGAAGTTGCCAGGCAAGCAAGTGAAGGGATTCCTTCATAGAACAATGCAGCGAGAGAATTTTGCTGGAAGGTATGACGAGAGGCGTGCTCCTGCAGTCGCCGGATGACGTCTCCAGTTGTAGGCCTGGTCCTTCAAGGGAGCTAAGCCACTTTGTAGGGATCTCTAGCCTGCTGCCATGTCCAGTGCGAGTTCTGGCTATGCTCTGCCATCCTTTTTCATCATTCCCAAGGCACACCGAAACGGAGATGGTCACAGAGGTGCGTGCACGCAGACAGCACTGCAACACACCGTGCAGGTCTACCAGTCCGTCCGTCTACTACAAGCAGCAGTCTTATGCTTGGTCTCGTTCAGTCTGCGAAAGGTCAACCAGGGCATGTGCGCGTTCTACGACAGCTTTGGCCCTTGGGGAGCTCCATGGCGAGTCAAAGCCCACTTTGGAAGAGAAAGTACAGTTTGATTGTTTTCTGCTTTAGGTTCTGTGGATCCAGTTCTTCGTGGGATGGTCAAGCTGAGGAGGGGATTCCTACTCAAATTATCTTCGATTTGTCTTAACTCCCTGAGTCCTAGCAGGATGCAATGAACTTGCGTACAACATGACATGCACGCCAAGGAAAGCGATTGCAATCCTGAAGCTCTAGCATGTAGCTCTCCCAGAAGCTGCGGCCGTCCAAGCAAAGCACACGCGTGATTCCGCTTTAGACCGTCGTTCTATATCCCAGCACCCTTTGGGAATAAATTTGTCCTATGAAGCCCGGCTGCTTTGAGCTGGCTTCACACATGTGCACCAGACCATGAGTCGACTAAACTGGGGCAAAAAGTATAGTAGAGAACTGATATGAAAGTCCACTGTTGTCGTACTTTCAGGCTGGGATATGCTCCCAATATCCTACTCCACGGTCTTCAAACTCGTTGTTAAAGGCCGCATTGGATGAAGCCAGTTGCTTGCTCAATTATACATCCTGAAGCACGGCCTGTCGCAAAATGCCCACTGAAGCACCCTGTACCCTCAGATCCACAGGCTTCACAAGTTAACTGATTGGCAGTGATATGTCGTAACAACAGTACAACAGTACAGTCCATGCCCATGTGCTTACAGAGCAGAAAACAAAAAGCCCGTGACGTAGGTAACCAGCCCCTTTTGAAGCTCAGGTTTGGAGCTCTGTCCACCTGGACCGTCATGTGGCAATCTCTGCGTGGCTGGGCCTGCTAGTGCAGTACAAAATCAGCATGCCTGCCAAGGGAGGATCTTTATGTGTTTGGGTTGCAGACAAGTATTCCTGGAGCAAGTGACTCCCTTACCACTCTGATTATCCCAACTTTTTTTGAAATGATAGTCGCTGCGATTATTGAAACTGCCATCATCACCAACCTTTCTGCCGCTCTGTGGCCGCTGTATCCAAGCCGTGCCACTTGATGCAGATGAGAGGGGTAATCGAAGTGGGTAAGGCCCTGAGGGGTTGTAAGGTGTTGCAACGCTTTTCTGCATTCACAGCACGGAGTCAATATCGAGCTCCTAGGGCCTACGTTGCATATTCATGATTTCCTACTAAAACATTCAAGTCTTCGAGTTGAACTCATAGGGACACATTGACGACAAATTCACGCTAAGTTAAAGAATGGAAGACCGATGTTCACAAAAACTGGGGCGTGGGAATCATTGCTGAGCCTAGTTTCTAGAGGCCAAGATGTTCCACACAGCTCTTGGCTGACAGATCTAGAGCCATGAACATCAGCGTTCTTACGGGTCCATGGTATTGGTGCAGGCGCGGGGGAGTGCTCAGGTTTTGAATCCCGAAGCACAGGCCACACAAAGTCCCACAGAGAGCTTACGAGCAAACCCAAAATGTGAAGCAAGTTTGGAGATGACTTTACAACCTAACCTCTGAACCTGAATCCCTTCAAATGCATGACTAAACCCAAATCTTAACATATCATAAAATCAAACCCCAAACTCCTAAAGAGCTGAGGTCTGGCCTCGTCGGGTTTTGGCTCCGCGGCCTCCGAACAGGAAAGCTCTGGGCTGTAGCCCCAGCTTTCCTTGTAGGGGTCAAGAAATGGGGTGTAAACTATGATTGAAAGCTTAGGGTCTGCCTTACATTTTGGAGCTAGTGGCATTGAGGGTTTCTGAAGAGGTCGTCAAGGGATTTTGTTAAGAAATGATGGAGGCTGCTAGGCCACATGTGGCAGTCCGGAATCTTACGTCCTTTTGATCGGCGGCACGTATTGCAAACAGAGTTTGCGCAACAAGAATGTAAGCTGTTTTCCGAATTTGCGACTGGGAAGATACCGCATGGCATCGCCCCAGCAGTGAGGCTTACGACTTGATGCCTGAAAAGCATCCCCTACCTTTTTGCATAATCTTGCATGCGATTCCCAAAGAGCTGTCAGCAATTAATTTCGATTGTCATATAGGGCACTCTCAAACGCATTTTCTGCAGCCGAAAGAATGAACGCCCTAAATCCTCGTCGGACCTGCTACCACAGGAGCCGGAACACATTCTATTGCATGCATGGTTCCTGTAAGTGCAACACGCAATGCCCCACGCCCCATTGAATTTTCAGGCCCCTGCATAGTCATAAATGAAACCCAAGATCCAAAACGAAAAGCTAAACAACAACTATACTAAAGGCCTTCAGCAGCAACCAGAGAGCGGTCCCCATAGCAAATCCTAAGTTAAGCCTTTCAGACACCTCACCCCCTAAGCCCTACTGGATTTCAAGTCGGGCAGGTCATGCTCGGCGCCGCCGGACCCGAGCGTCCGGAGGACAGCCTGAGATCCAGGGGTTAAGGGTTTAGGGTCTGACTTTGAGGATTTTGTGCTTACAGGGTTTGGGTTGTAAGTTAAGAATTTAGCGCCTGTAGGGTTTAGGGTGTAGGAGTGCAGAGCTAGGGGCAGGGTATTTCGGGCTTACCGTTTGGGTTGGGGGGCTTGCGTTAGAAATTGGAGCGTACGTAGGGGGTAGCTCGATGGAGCGTGAGTCGATAATTACGCAATACACATACAGATATTTATATACATACATACAGATATATGCAGATATACGTGTGTTGATAGTCTAATGACGAGGCTTTTCTAAGCGTTTGAGGGAACATATGCACTCCACAAAGGCAAAAAGAGAGGTGAGGTGCTGTTTATTGTATTTACGGAATGAAGACGTGTGAGTAGGTTTAGTTACTCTGCGGGTGCAGCCATTTTGCAATAGCATTCTCAAATAGCATTCTCAAAGCTTCCACTTCAACATCCCAACTACAAACGGTTCCAACCTGTGAGCACCGATTTGGCACAGATCGTGGGCTCCATGATACAGTCCAGCATATAAGAAATCCTTTTGATCCCTGGTGTGCAGCGTTACTTCGGGATGAACATGTCAGCAAAGCTACGTGCTGATCAAGGATAGCATGCCCATATCCCCAAGCATGTTCGCGGCACTGCCAAAGGTGAAGTTTGGTGGAGCATGACGGTGTTGTAAATTTGCCAGTCTAGGGACTTTGATGTATCAAGAGGGGGTGCGCGTAGGATCCGACTCTGGAGTTCCGGCCAGTGTAGCGCGACCTATTGAGTTCTTAGAGGTGCAAGGAGGGCATATGGCCTGAAGGTCCTACATTGCATGTTCAATGAGTATTCTAGAGAGGGGTATGACACTTAATATATATATATATACGTGTGTGCATATATATATATATGATTAAGCTTGAGCACTGGCGGACCCTCCCCCCTGCACTGTGATTGGGCTTGGCTTTCGGGGAGCATAGATGGGGACTGATGTTACAGACTTTAGGACAACCAGGATAAGGATTTTGGCGGGACAGCATTACAGAAGGAATCATATGGAACTCATCAAGGAACGTTGCCAAGAAGAATCCTAGAGATTGTAGAGAGATTCTTTGGAGATCTTTAGGAGGAATGAGAGAGGACCAAGGCCTACCCCTGTGGTGTAGTGAGGGCTGGGGTCGCTCCAGGACTTATTCGGCAACAACCGAATACCCAAGGCCTCTTGCCACGACTGCGGCAATGTTGATCCTGAAAGGCTTGCTGGGCTTTGCGAAAGGGTACACTGATGTTCATGATCCCGGGCTTTCAGTGGGTTAGCAGACTTGCTGATATTCCTAAGCTGAAAGCAAGACCCCCGGGCGAACTGTTTTAGGCTTCTGCAGATTTTGAGATGAAGACCAGACCAGCTGTTTCTGGTGAAGATCTTTGCTGATCAGTTTTGAAATGCTGCTGAAGGTTCAGATCCCTAAGTGAGCGAATGCTGCCATAGCCGTAGGAGGAGGAGTTGGTTTCTCTCCTCAAAGCATAGGCATTCGCAATTTGATTGGATGAACAGCCTAGATCTATTAACATGGAACTAAGGGCAGTTGCTTGCAACTAGCGCTACTTCGTGCCAAGTTGCCCTAGTTGGCGCAAACTAGTTCAAAAATGTTCAAATCAATGTATACTAGCGCACATGAGAGCCGGACACTCCAAAGTCCAGGGTATAGTATTCCGAATTCCGTATGAGTCAGTACTTCAAGATCGAGCTGAAGCTCAACAAGGTTCTTGGCAGCTCCACTTCTTTTCATGATTGGGGCGGCTTGCAGTCTTCCCCTTGGCGCCAGGCCTGCAGACTCGTTCTCAGGTTCTGCGGACTTTTGGGAGCTATGGACGCCGCGCGGGCCAGGGAACCTGGAGGATCGTAGATCTGCCGGTAAACCTCATGGAGATGGGTCTCAGATATTCAGAGGGATTGCGAAATGTTCACTTAGTCGGATTGTGGAAGCCAATGGCTGTAGGGCATGTCAGGCTTGTGTTCCTGCGACAGGGGCCAGTTTAGTTTGATCATGCAAGCGGAGAGCATGACTCATCATGGTAGCTGTAGCAAGTGAAGATCTCCGTTGGTCCTTCACGCTTGACACAATGACGTAGATGTATGTGGCCCCACGCCTTTCTAAAAAATGTAACTCTCAGCAGCTCCTTCTGCCATTGACTATGCCAGGGACTGTGCGCTATTGCGCGGTGGCCACGAAGGGCCCTCACATTGTTGAAGCTCTGCTTTAGACAGCGACTGTCACATGAGGCTGGGGCGTCCCCTGGTGACAGAATGTGCAGGCCAGCGGGCGGAATG